CAGTGAAGGGGGTGTTAAAGTCCCCTACTATTATTGTATTGTTGTCTATGTGTTTCTTTGATTTTGTTATTAATAGGCTTATGTAATTGGCTGCTATGTTAGGTGCATAAATATTTACAGTTGTTAGATCTTCTTGTTGAATAGACCATCTAAGTATGATACAGTGTCCTTCCTCATCTCTTATTATAGTCTTTGGTTTAAAATCTAATTTGTCTGATGCAAGGATTGCCACCCCAGCTTTCTTTTAGTGTCCATTATCATGGTAAATGGTTTTCCAACCCCTCACTTCCAATCTGGAGGTGTCTTTGGGTCTAAAATGAGTCTTTTGCAGACAGCGTATTGATGGGTCTTGTTTTTTTATCCAGTCTGATAACCTGTGTCTTTTGATTGGGGCATTTAGCCCACTTACATTCAGGGTAACTATGGAAAGATATGAATTTAGTGCCATTTTATTGCTGTAAGGTGATTGTTACTGTATATTGTCTCTATTCCTTTCTGGTCTATGTTACTTTTAGGCTCTCTCTTTGCTTATATGACCCCTTTCAATATTTCTTGTAGTTTCGTGTTTGTGAGTTCTTTTAGTTTTTGTTTGTCCTGGAAGCTTTTTACCTCTCCCTCTATTTTCAGTGGCAGCCTAGCTGGATATAGTATACTTGGCTGCATATTTTTCTCATTTAGTGCTCTGAATGTATCATGCCAGTCCTTTCTGGCCTGCCAGGTCTCTGTGGATAGGTCTGTTGCCCTTCTAATGTTTCTACCATTGTAGGTTACAGACCTTTTGTCCCGAGCTGCTTTCAGGATTTTCTCTTTGTCTCTGAGACTTGTAGGTTTTACTATTAGATGTCGGGGTGTTGACCTATTTTTATTGATTTTGAGAAGGGTTCTCTGTGCCTCCTGGATTTTAATGCCTTTTTCCTTCCCCACGTTAGGGAAGATCTCTGCTATAATTTGCTCCAATATACCTTCTGCCCCTCTCTCTCTTTCTTCTTCTGGGATCCCAATTATTCTAATACTGTTTCGTCTTATGGATCACTTATCTCTAGAATTCTGCCCTAGTGATCCAGTAGTTTATCTTTTTCTCAGCTTCTTCATTCTCCATCATTTGGTCTTCTGTATCACTAATTCTCTCTTCTGCCTCATTTATCCTAGCAGTTAAGCCTCCATTTTTTCATTGCACCTCATTAATAGCCTTTTTTGATTTCGACTTGGTTAGATTTGAGTTCTTTTATTTCTCCAGAAAGGGATTCTCTAGTATCTTCTATGCTTTTTTCTTTTTCTTTTCTTTTTCCCCTAAAGATTTAATTTATTTATTTGACAGAGAGCACAAGCAGGGGGAGGGGCAAAAGGAGAGGGAGAAGCAGACTCCCACTGAGCAAGGAGACTGATGCGGTGCTCAACCCCAGGACCCCAGGATCATGACCTGAGCCAAAGGCAGACGTTTAACTGACTGAGCCACCCAGATGCCCTTCTTGTATGCTTTTTTCAAGCCCAGCTGGTATCTTTATAATGGTCATTCTGAACTCTAGTTCAGACATCTTACTGATGTCCTTATTGATTAGGTCCCTGGCAGTCGGTATTGCCTCTTGTTCTTTTTTTAGAGGTGAGTTTTTCCGTGTTGTCATTTTGTCCAGAGAATAGATGGATAAGAGAACAAAATGCTAACAGGGTAACAATGACCCCAGAAAAATACACACTAAACAAATCAGAAGAGACCTGAAACTGGGGAAAAGGAGGGGGGGAAAAAAAAAAAGAAAGAAAATGAATATGATCAGGCTGGTTAATAGAACAGAGCCACACACTAGATTTTGGGTGTATTTTGGTCTGTTAGAAGAGATTGCTTCCCAAAATTTTAAAGAAAGAAAAACATATATATATATAAAAAAATAAGGGTACGTACGAGGAAGGGATGGAATATGACTGTAAAGATGAAAATTAAAAAAGATTTTTAAAAAGGAATTGTTAAGTTGGGTGAAGAAAGAGAATGTGATCAGGCAGGAGACTAGGACAACGTCTTACACTAGATTTAGGATATATTTTGGTCTGTTAGAGGAAACTATCCCAAAATTTTAAAGAAAGAGAAACTTATATATATACAAAAAATAAGGTTAACTACAATGAAGGGATAGAATATGACTGTAAAAATGAAAATTAAAAAAGTTTTAAAAAAGGAATTGATAAGGTGTTGGTTGAAAAAGGAAAGAAGAAAAAGTCAACTAAAAAAATAGAAAAAAAAAGAAAATTTAAAATATTAACTTTGAAAGACTAAAGGATCATGGGAAAAATTCCATGAGTTTTATGTGCTGTATTCCCCTAGGGCTGGAGTTCTGCCATTCTCATTGATCGGTAAACTTGGTCTTGGCTGGCTGTTCTTGCTGATCTTCTGGGGGAGGGGCCTTTTACCGTGGTTCCCAAATGTCTTTGCAGGAGGTGGAATTGCCCCGCCCCTGTCGGGTCTGGCTAAGTGATCTGCTGGGGTTTGCTCTCAGCTTTTGTTCCCTTCAAGCTTTCTGAACAGCTTTGGAGGATGAGAGTGAGAATGGCGGCCTCCCAATCTCTGGTCCGGGAGGAGCTGAGAACTTGGGGCCCCACTCCTCAGTGTGCCCCCAGAGAAAAGCAGTCAATCACTCCTGTCTCCCTGGTCTCCAGCTGCACTCCATGCTCCCCCAGCCTGTGACCGAGCGTTTCTATCTCTGGCACCTGATCCCATATGGAGTCTCCAAACCCAGCAGATCCCTGTGGTGTGCTCCCCACACCGCTCCTCCTGGGGGAGGAAGGGGAGTCTCCCCGGATCTGCCGCTTGTTGGGTCCCTGCTGGAGGAGCAGTGGCCCGATTGTGCTGTGAATCAGGGTTTATGGCAACCCCAAGCTGAGAGCCCACTCCTCGGCTCTGTCTCTGCAGCCGGCTTCCCCGCTCCGATACCTGGGAGCTCTGCTGCACTCAGGCACCCCCGGTCTTTCTGTGACCCCGAGGGTCCTGAGACCATACTGTCCCAGCGAGGGTTTCACCCCCTGCTTAGCTAGTGGAGCGATGTCCCTCAGCGGAGCTGACTTCTAAACGTTCCGGTTTAGTGCCCCGCTGCTCTATCACTTGCTGGTAGTGGCTGACGGAGGCTCCCTCCCCCGCGGTCTATCTTCCCCTATATCGCCTCAGATTCACTTCTCCGCACGTCCTACCTTCCAGAAAGTGGTCGCTTTTCTGTTCATAGAATTGCTGCTCTTCTTTTCTTCGATCTGTTGAGTTTGTAGGTGTTCTGAATGGTTTGATAACTATCTAGCTGAATTCCTGGGACCAGACGAAATTTAGGTCTCCTACTCCTCCGCCATCTTGCTCCTCCCTCCAACAGTTGTCTTTTTGATTCTAGCCGTTCTCACAGGTGTAAGGATGATATCTCATTTTTATTTACCTTTTACTCATCATTAGTGATATTGAGCATCTTTTCATGTGTCTGTTGGCCATCTGTATATCTTCTTTGGACTCTTGACCATCTTCACCCAATTCTTCCACCCTCAATCTCCCCCCACCCCCACCTCTGGCAACCTACAAATCTGATCTTTGTTTCTATGAGTTTGGTTTTTTTTAGATTCCACATATAAGTGCAATCATATAGTATTTGTCTTTCTCAGACATTTTACTGAACATAGTGCCCCAGTGGTCCATCCATGATGTCATAAGTGGCAGGATTTTCTTCTTTTTTATGGCTGAATAGTAATTTTATTGTGTGTGTGTGCTTATATCACATTTTCTTCATCCATTAGTGGACACTTAACGTTGTTTCCGTGTTTTGGCTATTGTGAATAATGCTGCAATGAACTACTCTTTTGTCACCTGAAATCATTAAAGCTAATGTCTGAGCTTTTCAGTCCTTTCTTGTAATGTTCCTTTGTAAACTTAAATCAGTTCATAGCAGTCAGTTTGCATGCTTCCCCATCTCTAAAAATGTGAATATTTAGAACTGATCACAGGCTTGTTATGAGAACCTGAAAATATTTGTAAAGACCGTGGCACATAGTAGATGTTAAATGTTTACGTTTATGAGCCACATGAGTGGAGACTTTGGCCAAGACTTGTAGCACAGAGAGGATTCTAATCCGCAGCGGCTGGGCCTGTGCCACCATCTCCTGTATTGCAACGAATGGCCCTTACGGCACTAATCCAGGAGGTGTAGGGAACCTGTGAGGAGAGGCTTTCTTTGTCTGAATTCTTGATCATTTGCTTACATATACAGAGTTGTTTTGTTTAATTCACAATGATGCTGTTGTATAGTGTTTGAAAAAATTGTGGTCCACTAAAGTTGTTTTCGTATTTTGGTGCATTAGGTAAACTTCAGCAAGAGGAGTTTCAACTTCCCATCCCCCAAGCAGAGTAACTCCACTCTTACTCATATTGTATACTGGCTTTCTCTGTAAGATTTTGTTTGAAAAAAGCATTCCATTTTAAGAAATTTTTACAAAGAAAACCTATTCCCCAAAATAATCAGAACAAACATGGTTATTGTATTTGAATATGTGTTACAGAAAAGCTTTAGAAAAAGTGTTAATGAAAATCTGTTAGACACATTTTGTGTGTGTGTGGTAACTTTTCTTCAGAGGCTTTGTAGTGAGAAAGTAAAAAAAATTATTTATGAAAATATTAAGATTTTGAAACAATTTGGTTTTGTTTTTATAAAATATTTATCCTAATATACTGTTTATTCTTTAATAACTATAATTGAAAATTCATTTTCCTTCACATTTCTCTTAAGGGATAATGGGATTACAATGGGCAAAACATCTTGGAAGTGCAGTTAAGGTTACAATTAATGACTTGAATGAGAACTCTGTGACACTGATTCAGGAAAACTGCCATTTAAACAAACTGAAAGTGGTGGTGGACAGTAAGGAAAAGGAAGAGAGTGATGATATTCTTGAAGAAGGAGAGGAAAACCTTGGTAATATTCAGGTGACCAAAATGGATGCTAATGTACTGATGCATTTGCGATCCTTTGATTTCATGTAAGTGAAAAAAATTTGCTGTGTCACTTTTTGTGTATGTGTGCATGTGTTTGTCACTTTCTAAACTGGCCTGGATTTTTGGTGGGGGGCTATAAGACTGCAGTTTGTTTATTTGCATTAATACAGTTTTTTTCCATTGGCCTAAGGAATGCAATAAGAACATTTTCTAGCATTTGAAATAAAATTCCCAGGCATGACAGTTTTCTTCTAAGCCTGATTTCACTTTTATATGTCTGACATATCATATGATCATTTTATTACTTAATTTAAAAACAATTATATATTTAAAATTGATTTGTAAAGTACTTTTGAATCCATGGGATTTTATCATTAGACATAATGATAGTGGTATCATTTTGATTACTAGTATGATTTTAAATATGTATTCTTTCTGATTTTAGACACCTAGACCCTTTTGGAACATCCGTGAACTATCTAGATTCTGCATTCAGAAATATAAGAAACCTTGGCATAGTTTCAGTGACTTCTACAGATATCAGTTCTTTATATGCCAAGGCACAGCATGTTGCCCGGCGTCACTATGGCTGTAATATTGTCCGAACTGAATATTACAAGGAACTAGCAGCCAGAATCGTTGTAGCTGCAGTGGCAAGGTACCAGATTGACAACAACGTACCTAGTATGTTTGGGTATATGACAGAGATAATATTACAAAAAGTGCCAGTTGCATTTTTCAAAATATGCACAAAGTCCAAATTCTATATTCGTGTCCATAATCTTGATTTGTTTGGTAATCTTACATTGTTTTTGTTATACTTTGATTTAAAAGTTTTGTGCCTAAAATAGTTTACTCTCCAATGAAAAGTTTTATTAAAATTAGTTTAAGAGAGGGAGACAAACCATAAGAGACTCTTAATCTCAGGAAACAAACTGAGGGTTGCTGGAGGGATGGGGTGGCTGGGTGATGGACGTAGGGGAGGGTATGTGCTATGGTGAGTGCTGTGAGTTGTGTAAGCTGTACACAGACCTGTACCCCTGAAACAAATAATACGTTACATGTTAATTGAAAAAAAAAGTTAATAAAAAAATTAGTTTTAAGAAAGAAGAGATAAAAATGAAAGTTAATGTCAAATCAGTTATTTTAACAATGTAGGTAGATGGGGGATAGCTCCATGAAAAGAAAATGCAAACGTTGTTTTTAGATTTAGAAAAATTCGGGGTTTTGTGGGTGGGATTTGTTTTATATTTATTCATTTTTAAGTAGGTGCCATGCCCAACATGGAGCACAACACAGGGCTTGAACTCATGACCCTGAGATTAAGACCTGAGCTGAGCTCAAGAGTCGGACACTTAACTGAGTCACCTAAGTGCCCAGAAAAATTTGTTTTTGTTTTTTTAAGATTTTATTTATTTGTTTATTTATTTTAGAGTGAGGGGAGGGAGAGAGCTCGAGCAGAGGGAGAGAAAAATCTCAAGCAGATTCTGCACCAAGCATGGAGCCCAATGTGGGGCACGATCCCACAACCCTGAGATTAACACCTGAACCGAAATCAAGAGTTGGAGCTCAACTGACTGAGCCACCCCAGCACCCCAAAAATTGTTTTATGTCTGTTTCATTTCCTTTATTTACATAGTTTGAATAAGATGCTGGGTTATAGGGGTGCCTGGCTAGCTCAATCGATGGAGCATGTAACTCTTGATCTCAGGGTCGTGAGTTCAAACCCCATATTGGGTGTAGAGATTACTAAAACAAAAATAAAAATAAACATAAGTAAACTTTTAAAATGATGGCTTATAAACTTGATTCTGCAAAATGACCTTACCTACAAAACAAAAAGTTCTGTTTTTCATCAGGATTTCTAAACAGTTAAAGAAAGGCTTTTTCTTTTTTTGAGCACCCACTTTATTCAGAATATTCTGCTAGAAGAATAAAATTATATAAATTGACCCTGAGAGTATAGATAATGCATGATTAGCCAGTTGATTCACTAGCCCCAACACTGGGTTCCCAGCATTTAGATTGAAATTCCTACCTCAACATAATATGGATTATAGTAGACTTCATATACCTTTGGTGTTATTCCTAATTATCTGAAAACTCTGATATCTAGTATGTATACACACCAAGGACCTCTTGTATATACTTAAAACTGTTTATGATGTAATATCAACAAGTTAAAATTAATACATATGAACTAAGTACATACAACTGCAGAGGGAAAACTAAGTACATAAATGGTATATCAATTAGAATTTAATCCAAAAGTCTATAAAATTAATAGCAAAAACTTTGCCTATATAATTTTCACTGAACATTCAGCACATACCAGCCTGCATGTAGTTAGTCCTCAATAATCATTGTTTGGAAGAAGCTTTTATAGAAAAAAGTAGATAAAAAGGAAGAAGGGTGATGGTGATGACAAGAAACAAAATGACACTGAAAATCAGGATGTAGTCTCACTGAGAGGATACCATAATGGAGAATGTCTAGTTGCTAAAGATTCTGCCAAGCATCCTTTATTACCTGTGTTTCAGTTTGTGTAAAAGTTACCGTAATGATCTTTTAAAAACACTGCTACTAAGAACTGAACTTGCCTTATTTTCCCATAACCCATCCATGGTTTCCTGTCCAGGTTAGTATTGTCAATATAATGCCAAACAAAGAAAAATGATAAGCCCCCAAAATAATTTGAAAAATTTCTTTCCAGAGCTGCAGCCCGATGTAACAAAGGCATTGAGGTACTGTTTGCAGTGGCTCTGGAACATTTTGTGTTGGTTGTCGTGAGAGTTTTGAGGGGGCCTACCTCTGCAGATGAGACAGCCAAGAAGATCCAGTACCTGATCCATTGTCAGTGGTGTGAAGAGAGAATTTTTCAGAAGGATGGTAATATGGTAGAAGGTAAATTCAAATTTCTCTTGACTGTATATTGTGTTTATGTATAAGCCTCCAATGAATAAGTCCTTATCACATCCCTAATTACACATATTGTTGTCCTTTGATTTTAAAGATTACAGTGCTAACTTTATTTCCTATACTGGATTTCCTTTCATCAACAGACAAGACATTCGTGTGAGTTTATTAAAATTATTTACTCATGCTCTACGATTTATGCTCTCTAGCTCTGCCCTCTTTTGAAACATCTAGAAATAACTTAGTTTCCACTGTCACTAATTTTAGGAACATAAGTCAGATTACTTCTTTGTCTAGGGTGTTTCAAATCACTAATTTTATAAAAAATAATTATCATGTTTCTGGCTTAATATAAAAACCATCCATATAAAATTCCTTCAGTAAACATTTACTGAGCCTCTACTATATGCCAGGCATGGGGATCAAAGAAAAAGATGAAGCTTATGCCCTTATAAAGTTGTTTCTGTTTTGCTTTTCTGGGGCATAGAAATAGATGCCCATTGTTTTCTGTTAGATTCTTGGCATGTTTTAGTATGGAGTTTTAAGAACTCCTTAGAGTTTAAACCTTGTGATATGAGTTGCAAATATTTTTTCTCATTTTGTGACTTCTGTTGAAATCTATTTTTCTAATCTTTCATATGTAGAAGTTTGTTGCTGTTATAAAGTTAATTGAATTTTATGTATTCTGGATTTTGTCTGTATTTAGAAAGAATTTTCATGTTTCTATACTCAGGGTAGGTTATGTTCTATTGAATAATTCACCTTTCTCCACCAATGTGAGAATACCATCTCTTTCTTATACTAAAGAATATATTTGAGTTTGTTTCTGGATTTTCTGTTCTGTTCCAGTGGTTGAATATCTATTCATACACCTTACTGCACTATTTTGATTACGGAGGATCTTTAGTGTTTAGTATCTATTACCGCAGTACCTCTTCAAAGCTCTATTTTTGGAGTGTTCCTGATAAGGGATCTTCCTTTTTTCTTAATAAAAGAGTAAATGAATAGACAGCTAGTATTTTATTTTGATTTTATTAAGGAGGATAGATACTGTTGTGGTTTTCAGATTTCCTAATAACCTAGTAAGCTTTTCATTTGTGCAAGTACTTTTGCTACAGTGTTAATTGTTAGTGAGAATGGAAGGCATCCTGTCATGTTCCTTTAGTTCTCTCTGGTCCTTTCTGATTCAAGCATGGATCTGAGATACCTATCGTTTTTCATGTTAAGAAAGTATTCTTCATTTCCAGTTTTATTGTATTTTAGCAAAGATGCTGAATTTTGTCATGTATTTCAGCACCTGTGGAGATGATTATGTGGTGTTTCTTCTTAGGTCTATTGATTTGATTAGTTTTAATAAAATTTCCCAGTATTGAACCATTCTGCCCTTCTACAATAAACTACTCGGTCAGGAAGTATTTTCTTAAGATAGATTCTCTTTGTTAATTTTTTAAATTTTGTTTTAATATTCATAAATGAGATGGTATATAGTTTTCCTTTTTAGCATAATTTTGATTGGGCTTTGGAATCTGTTTAAACTTGGAAAGAATTTGCAACTTTGCCCTTTTTTTTTCTTTTCAGTTTTTGGGAACAGGATAGCTTTAGCTTTTCTGAATTATTTACATGGAGTTGAGCCAAGTGGTGTCTAATGGTTCTTTTTAATTTTCTTGGTTTCTGTGGTTATATTCTCTTTTTTTAATTTTTAATACTTGTTTTTTCTGCCTTTTCTCTTGACTACCTTAGATACTGGTTTATCTGTCCTATTGTTGTTCATTTATTATCTTAATGTTTTACTTTTGTAGTAGTAAATACGTATTCCAAAATTTGAATTGTTTTGGTTTTAAGTAATATGGTTTGGCTTCTTGGCATCATAAATGAGGTAATCACCCTCGCATTTTCCATTTTCCCTTTCCAGTTTGTGCTCATTATACCATTTATATGTTATTAGAATATGTAACATTTATATTCTGTTTTGCCAATAAAATCTATACATTAAACGTGTTTAATACTCATCATCACTCTTTTTGCCGTAATTTCTCTAATCATCTCTTAATTTACTAAATCTAACTTTCTGAGTTTAGTCAAGAGTGGGCAGAATACTCCTCAATTTCTTGCATGTTTAAAGCTCACTACCCATAGCTTTTATACTTAAAAGAGTTTAGAGTTTGAGTGCCTTGTAAAAGTTTGTGTATTGTCGTCTGTCACTGAATATAAGTAACTTTTCCTTCTTTTATGTGACATGATTATTTTGCCTGGCTGCCCAAAGGAATATTTATTTTTGAAGTCCAGTAACTTTACTAGGGTATATCTTTTTGGGATAAGTGTTCCTAAATCATGGTGTACCCCTTCAGTTTCAAATCTTTCATTTTAAGAGAGTTTTTTTAATATTTATTTAATTCTAATATTTGTCTTACCTTTGTATTATTATGTCTATGCTAGATCTCCTTAGCCTGTCTTGAACTATCATTTTATCTCTAGAAATGTTCAGATTTGTACTTGTTTTATATTCTTCATGTATGGCCCTTTTACCGTTATGAAATGTCCATCTTTATCTCTGTGGTATTTGTCTGAAAGCTTATATTATCTGCTATTAATATAAACACGACCTTGTAGTTTTTATTGACATATATATTTTTCTCATCCTTTTACTTCCAATCCATAAGTGTCATCTTGGATCTTACTTTTTTATCCAGTCTCATTTCTGCCTTTTGATGAGAGTTTTATTTTATTTTATTTTTTTAAGATTTTATTTATTTGACAGAGACACAGGGAGAGAGGGAACACAAGCAGGGGGAGTGGGAGAGGGAGAAGCAGGCTTCCCGCCGAGCAGGGAGCCCCATGTGGGGCTCTATCCCAGGACCCTGGGATCATGACCTGAGCTGAAGGCAGACGCTTAACAACTGAGCCACCCAGGCGCCCCTTGATGAGAGTTTTACACAGTTCCTACTAAATGTCATTATTGAAATGGTTGGCTTTATGTCTGCTCTTTTGCTATTTGTTTTTTTGTCTTTTATGTCTTTTTGTTGTTCTGTTTCACTTTGTTGCCTTTTTTGTTAGACATATTTTTAGTGTGTCCTCTTAATTCCTCTGCTGATTTTTTTGCTATATATTTTTGTTATTTTCTTAATGGTTTCTCCAGGGATTAACAGTATACACCTTTAACTTATCTTGAGCTACCTCAGGTTAATATTGACTGAAGACTGGCAAAAGTGAGCAACTTTGCTCTAATGTAATTTTATGTTCCTCTCCCCTCGTAGGCTATTTTTGTCTTATATTAATTACATTTGTGGTGATCCAATCAATATAGTATTATATTTATTTTTTAAATATTATTTTCAAAGAAATTAAGACAGGAAAAGAGAGAATACACACACACACGTATCTTTTATAGTTACCCACATAATTACCTTTCCAGTGCTCTTTAGTCCTATTTTATTAAAGTTACTCTATTTAATTTCTTTTCAATCTGAAGAACCTCCTTTACTATTTCTGCAACAGATTCTCCCAGTTTTTATCTGGTGATGTCTTTATTTCACCTTCCTTTTTAAAGGATATTTTTTCTGAATGTAGAATTACTGGTTGACAGGAGTCTTTTTCTTTCAGCACTTTGAATATAGCATTCCAGTGCCCTTTGGCCTCCATTATTTCTGATGAAAAGTCATTCAGTCCTTGTATTTTTGTTCCCTTGTACTTGATAAATTATTTTTCTCTTACTGCTTTCAAGATTTTCTCTTTGTGGCTTTCAGCAGTTTAGTTACAATATGTCTGAGTGGATCTCATTATGTTTATCCTAATTGGAATGCATTGAGCTTTCTGAGTCTGTAGATAAGTATTTTTCATCAGACGTAGGGCACTGTCTTGCTTCTCCAACCTAAACCCATCTTCATCACCTCAAACTGGAGGCAGATATTGTCTGTAATGTACTAATCATGAATTAGAGTAATATAATCAGCTGTTTCAAGTACAGTTTTCTAAACGACCCCTGCAGCTGTTGCTCTAGAGCTACTCCAGTTGCATTCATCTTTTCCTTATAAGTTCAAGTACCCTCCTAAGGCTCTTTATGCCTCTAATAGCTATTCTCTCCAGTGTGGTTTTCTTTCCAGTAGTATGATCTCTCAGCTTTTAGGCTTTCAGAAAGTACGGAACAATTTGGGATGTGTGCTGGCACTATCTAGGAATTATTCATAAAGGTATCTTTTCTGGGTCACCTGGGTGGCCCAGTTGGTTAAGATGCCTTCAGCTCAGGTCATGACCCTAGGGTCCTGGGATCGAGCCCCATGTCATCAGGCTGTGTGCTCCGGGGGGGGGTGGGGGTGGGTAGGGTCTGCTTATCCCTCTGACTGCCACTCCGCCTGCTTGTGCTCACACTCCCTCTCTCTCTCTCTGTCAAATAAATAAATAAAATCTTTTAAAAAAAAAAATCTTTTCTGTCATATCTAGAGATTTAGAATAAGAAGAGAAATTGGAAAAAAAAAAGTTGGGTTTCAAGCTCAGCCCACCATCCTAATCTTGTTTTTAATACAACAGAATCAGAAGAGTTAAAGAATCCACTCTCACTTTTTAAAATACAGGTTTTTGGGGTGCCTGGCTGGCTCAGTCAGTGGAGCTTGCAACTCTTGATCTCAGGGTTATAAGTTCGAGCCCCACGTTCGGCGTAGAGATTGCTTAAAAATAAAAGGGGCGCCTGGGTGGCTCAGTCGGTTGACCATCCAACTCTTGGTTTCAGCTCAGGTCATGATCTCAGGGTTGTAAGATCGAGTCCTGCAGCAGGCTTGGGGTTCCCTCTCCCACTTGTGCACGTGGGTGTGTGCTCTCTCTCTCTCTCCAAAATAAATCTTTAAAAAAACAATAAAATATTTAAAAATAAATGAATAAAATAAAATGCAGGTTTTCAGAAATATCTTTGATGAAACTTTGGAAAGTTTTGGTTCTCTTGGATAACTAAGAAAATGGTTTAGTGGCCTGTGGTTTCTTTATTCATTTTTTCTAAT